GATACGCAGTCATGATCGCATGTGCATGTATGGGGTACAGTAAATGCTCGAATCCCCATCTCATCCTCCTTTTAATCATCATCGTTTATTGCACGCAGCCCGAAGCAGCTCCAACAGCTCCCTCGCATCGCTACACTGCCTGTTGCTATTGGAAAGCGCCACTAACGCGGGCAAACACCCCTCCCCTAGCAGAACAGCAGCAGAGTCAGGATCTGATTTAACAATATGCAGCAGACCAGACGCCGCGTGTTCCTTAGCGCGTCCCGCACCCCCCTCCAAGCACTCCACTAACGCGGATAAACCGTCCTCTTCCGCGCGAATGGCCTTCCGCCCCTCCGCCACCCGCGCAACCACCCCCAGCACCGCCGCAGCCATTTCTTCCACCCCCGCTTCCCCTTCCACTACCAGCTGGATCAATTGCGCAACAATACCTGTCGCAGCGATTTCGCGAGCCCCCTCCGCTTCGCGCCCGAGCGTGACGAGCGCCAGACACGTGTCCTTTTTCGTGCGCGCGCACGAGGCCTCCCGCAGCAGCGCCACCAGCGGGGGAAGAACTCCCGCCGCCAGCGCAGTTTTCTGCGCGTCGGGGGTATTTGCGAGCGGAAACAACGCGGCGGCGGCGTTGCTGCGGAGAAACTCGCTTCCGCAAGGTTGTTGTGCCAACACGCGGAGAACATTGCGCAGGCCTCCCGCGGATGTGATCTCCGCCACCGCCGCGGGCCGCGTCACCGCCAGAAACAGCACCGCCGTCATCGCGTGCTCCGCAGTCTCCCGGTCTTCCGCCAGAACCGCGCGCACGAGCGGAGACACCCCTTCCGCCGCGACCAGCCGCGCGCAATTTTCCGCAGATTCCTTCAGCGCTGCGCGGATGCTTTCCGCAGCAGTGCGCGCGACAGTCGCATCCTCGCTCGCTAGCCCCTCCACCAACGGTCGCATGTCAACCGCGTTACTGTCCATGCTCATGCGACGGCTGCGACGCTGCATTTCTCGCGCGGGCGACGCCATGGGGCTGAGAAAACGTTGCGGGGAGGCGCAAGCGGCGGAAATCTCCCCCGATACCGCGCTTCTCGCCGGCGACCGCCCCATCCGCCTCTCGAGACTCGAGACCCGCGCAACCGCGTCTCCGCCGTCCCCCCTAAGCGGGCTCGCGGCGGCGCTCGCGGCGGACGCAGCGCGGCGGACGTAGTTCCGGGCGCTGCGCGCTGATTGCGCGGCGAGGAACTTCCCGAGCGCCTCGTCATCATCCGCATCGATCTGCGCCACCATCGCGCCCGTCAGCTGCCCGCTGCCGCTGCCGGTTTCGAACCCCATGCTGCTGTTGGTTAAACTGCGAAAGCTCGCCATGGTGGGCGGAGTGCTCGCATCGTTTCTCCCCAGCTCCGCCGTGCTGAGGACGCCGGACACCCCCCGGGAGGCCGTGACGCCGGAACCCGCGGCGGCAGGCGCGCTCGTGCTCGCTGGAGCGCTGGTGAGCCCCGCGCGGCTGTCGCGCGGAACGAAGGAGGAGCCGGGGGAGGAGGAGGCGGCGTCGAGAACCGAATGCGGGGAGTTTTCCAGGGGAGCTTTCTGCGCGCGCGCGGGACTGACACTCGAGTTTCGCGCGGATTGATCCGAGGACGCTACGCACGAGGCCAGGTGCTGCGGATCTTTGTTAAAAGACGATTCTCTGAGTACCTTGGAGAGGGGGAGCGGAGGAAGGGATGCCGTGCGAGAAGAATCGGGAGGCAGGGGAATAGACATTGGCTCTGTGGCAGTCGCCATTGTCGGTGCTGGTGTACTTTGAGGTATGTGTTATCACCGGCTCGTTCGGCCTAAGTGCACTATGCAGTACCGACGGCCAACGCAGCTGGCGGCGTGCTAGAATTACGAGGTCTGCACGGATGGCGGCTGCGATTAGGGGGGGTGTATCGATGAAGGGAGGAAACTAAGGGGGAGCCTCTTGCCAAAAGCAGATGAGTGCGATCGAACTACCTTGGTGTCCTGCCCAACGGGCTTGGGCTGATCGGCTTGGTTGGGTTGGGTCTGAACTGAAGGGCTGAGGTCAGGGAGAAACCATAGGCCAAAGGACTCCTGACCTGACCTGATTCCTGAAGCAGGTGTTGAGGTGAGGAAGTCACAAACGCGCCCGAGGCGGCGGCGGAGTGAAGCTGAGTGGAGTACACTGTACAGTAGTGGGCAGGGAGGGGAGGGAGGGGAGGGGAAGTTGGTGTGGGAAAATGGTTCGATCGTGGAGGACGGAGGGAATGAATTTGAGGGCAGTCCCTTTCCAACCAACCTGAAGAGGGGATGTCCGGTCTCGGGCCCTTGTCAAATTGTCTCTTTTCAGTCCCGCCTGCCCTCCGTCAAGTGTTTTCCACTGAAGTGTACTTCAGCAGGCGTAAGTACTGCCCCACCGTCATCCAGCTAAGCTCTGTGGAACTTCTGCACCCTAAATCTCGTTAAAATCAAGCGTGTATGTCAGGACGGCTGCGTTTGTTTTTAGAGGAATGTGACTGTACGTGGCACAGCGCGGAACCGACAGTCGGGAGTATTTCCCGAGCACCCGAAGCAGTAGTGGTGTACTCTGGAGTGACGAGTGTTCGGCCCCACTGAGAGGGCTAACCGGTAAGGAAATTTAAACCTCTGGAAGCGTCGCAACAGTAAAAAATGCCCGCGCACTGAACCGAATGTTGTTTCTGTACCATCGTGAGCAGGTAACTAGTTCCCTGTTTCCTTCGAGAACTCCCAGATGTTCAGGTGACGCTGTGGGATGTGTTGAAGTTCGTTTGGAGACCCTGGGACAGTTCAAAGGGGCTGGCTCAACCCGTTATCGTCTGTGGGTTTTCCCACACTAAGCCATATTTGGTCCAGAGCAATGTGAAATTCCATTTCACAATGTGATAAGAAGCCGATCTGGGCAATGACTGTATCCACTTTTTGATGCTACGTGATTAAAGACTAACAGATTTAGGGTGTACCACAATGCCGATGGATGGAAGACCTTTTTTTCGTACACCGTGGGTGCCATGCCTAATATAATCAAAAATTGACTCACCTACCTTCTGCACCAATCATCGGGATGAGTGCCTGTATTGCATTTGGGCAGCGATGTGCACAATATCCACATTCATTGATAATGCGGGGTCTGAAGCTGGAGAAAGTGGGAAGATGAAAGTGAGGGGGGTGCAGGGAAACGTACCGAGAAGAAATTCTGTTGAACATAGTACAGACAGATTATAAGTGACACCCTTACAGCTTGGGAACATGGCGTTGCGAAATCCCGGGCCAGCACTGTTCCACGAAATTGCTGGCTTTTGCGTCGTTCACGGCACACCGCTCCTCTCACGAACGACTCACGCAACGCGACAAATCACATCCACATGCAGTACACAGCTAATAAATGCACGGGTGGGGAAGCTTCAATCACATCCATTGCATTTGTCTTTCCACACCAGTGTATTACACGGGTGTACGAAGTAGTATATCATTTTTTGTACAGCCAGAGTTGTGAAATGAAAGACAAGCCATTTTGACCTTCATAAGAAATACTATAAACCTTTTAGTTGTTTGTTGTGCGCACTTCAATTCTGCACGAGAATAGTGGTAATAAGGGCGAGTCCTCCGGATCTAGAGATTATAACAGTGTAAATATAGGTTTCAGATGTTCATTATGTTATTACAATAATTCCAAGAACGGAAATTGGACTTGAAATTAGAAACACATGTACACTACTGTTTCATTGCTGCATGCGCATTCATTCAGACTTTGCCATGCTTGAAATTTCAGGAGTTCCTGTGACCTTGTGTCACAGTATCGATGCCTCTCGATCCGTAATTTCGAACTTCCAAACAAAGCCCACCGTACATTTCGGCAGGTAGCAAGATGTGCGCTGGCTGCCGTCGATCTGGATGCTGGTGCCCCGGCTACGCGGAGAAGAGTCCCTCCGGGAGGTCCCCTATCTTGTCGTTTCTGCGGCGAAACCCTTGCCTTCCCCACCCCACTGCTTGCCCTCCGCCTTGCTGCTGGTGTTCCCCTCCAAGCGACTCTTCCGTGGCGAGGGCCTCTTGCAACCAAACCCCACCGCTCTCCCCTTCCCCGTCCCGGCAACCCCAAGGTCTCCCGTGATCCCTTCCGGACCGGATCTCCCGACCGGCTCCCTTCCGAAACCCACCCACCCACCCGCTCCCGCTTATCCATCCGCTTCTCATTTCACCGCTCTCAGTTTCCGCTCCTTGTTTCATTCCGCACTTCCGGTTAGCCGCAGAGCTCCCTGTCCCCTCCTCCCCTGGAGCACTGGCGCGCGGACACTAGGACACGCCCAGGAGATTGCACATGGCTTCCCTGTCGGCATGACGCGCGAAGCCGAAGCGGGCCCGAATCCTGCTGCAACGGATCAGTGATTTTGCTGCTGATTAGTGAGTTCCAATTTTCTGGATGTAGACGCTCCTAGACTATGGCGGCTATTGTGAAAGCCAAATAGGAGTATCGAACGCCGTACATGGATCCTCATGGATGTGAGGAGTATCTCGTTCTGGCATCAAGCGATATTTTCTTAATAATTTCACGCTGGTTTCCCTCTGCATTGCCTCGCTCCGACGTTTCTTGTTCTCTTGCGGTGTAACTTCGTGCAACTTTATTTGATGTTTCTGTTCGATCAATTCTCACCTCGCTCGCTTGCTTGTGAGCGTTAACGCTTGAGTCTCCTTCTGTTAGCATTGACGAACCTGCGGATTATTTATCCATGGTCTTCTTGCGACGACGTGTGCCTTTGGTCCTCGATCCTTTCCGATCCTTTCGTACTTGACGTCTAACGTTGTCGATATTAGACTGCGTCGTGTCTGGACTCGCGCTCTTCTCTTTTTTCATGTTCCCTTCTCCGCCTGCCTGCTTCGCGGGACGTTTTTTTTTCCCCCTTTTTCTTTTTTCTTTTTTCGGTTGGCATGATGTAAGGCATTATGGATTATAACATGTCGTGGAACGCGATCGTGAAATCCTTTTTTTATGTGCTCGTGTCTTGATTTGTTTTACAGGTTTCTCTCCCGCAGTCACCATCGTAGCAAACTGAACGTCAGCTCGTGTGGTCTTCAGTAGGCGAACCAGCTGGACTAGGCGTCGGCAACCAGCCTTCTTAGCTACTCTAGCATAAATAAGCACTCCTCTCGAATCCTTCAAGTGCCGGAGTTCATAAGAAAAGAGGATAAAAAGGTCCGGATTATGGATTTGAGCCTTCAGCAGCAGCAGCAGCAGCACGGTGCAATGCCTGGAGGTACTGCAAGTTACTATTACCACCGTGGATCAATGGCCTCTCCATCCCAGCCTGTGTTCCAGGTCCATTTGGGTTCTTATTTTGGGGACGCTTTTCGTGAACTCTTTCCCCGTGTTGCTCTCTTGGGTTCGCGCTATTATTCCCCCTTTTTCTGTGTGATCTCGATTTCGCTGCTTATTACGGTCTCGTTGCGTTGAAGTTTCCTTTATGCGTCCGTGTTAGCTGCCCGTCTTATCTCGCTTGCGTTTTCAACCATGATATTCTATTCATTTGTACCAGAGCTCTTCCCTGACCATCACCATGGAGAACACCATCTGATGCAGCACCAAGCCTTGGCTAAAGGAGACTACGTGACTGCATCGAGCCTTCGGCACTTCCAACAATCGCAGCAGCAGGGCCAGAATAGCTCGCCGACGTCGCAGCAGCAGCTACAGGCATCGCTGGGCCTGGGGCAGATCGACCAGCATGGCCACCCCCTGCCGGTGCTGCACCACCAGCAGTTCCACCATGTTAGTATGGCGCAATCAGCCCAAGCAGCAGCGGCAGCCGCTGCTGCAGCTGTAGCTGCTGCAACTGCGTCCGGCTTCCCACCCCAACGAGGCGATCAGCAGCAGGATCCAGATCAGGATCAGCAGGGCGAGCAGGAGCGGCATCAGGATCAGCAAGAGCAACGGCAGCAGGATCAGAACCAGCCGCGCCAGTTGAGGGCGGGGTCGCCGCAGCAAGGCGGAGCGATGCAGGCGGCGGATCCGCAACAGCAGGCGCAGCAGGCGCAGCAAGCGCTGCAGAAGCGCAAGGGGCAAGGCGATCCCGCGGCGGGATCCGCGCTCCACGCGTGCAGCGCGCCGACGGACATGGCGGGGAACCCGTTGCGCCGAACGCTGTGGATCCGCTTCAAACACGGGCGGCCAACGGAGGTGGAGCTGGAGGAGGACGAGCTGCACATCGATCACCTGAAGAAACGCCTGAAGCTGCTGTTTCCGAAAATGCTGGGGCATGTGGAGGTGTTTGAGTTCTCGATACGGCACTCTGCTGCGGACCACGGCTGTGTGCCCGAGGATTTCCCGTTGGACCACCTGAGGGAGGGCAACCGCGCCGCTGCTCCACTGCTCGTTGACGCGCCGGAGCCAAGTGAGTTCATCAGGGTGCATGGCTCGTGGTTCGTGGTTCTTGCTGCGTGGTACATGGTACATGGTGCGTGGTTTTCCCTATGGTGTGAAGGTGAGATCATGGCCTTGTGGCCGCGTTTGTAGTATGCCATGTTCTGTCCACTTCGTTTCGTCCCCCCATGTTAAGCATCGGGCATTGGCGGTGAGTTCTTAACTTCTCGCAGGATGGATGGGAGTTAGTAGGTATGGCCCTCCTTGCTGCCTGCTTGGTTGATTGATGGTATTGTGTGGCTCATACGGGGTCTCGCGTGTTCCTGAAGCCAAGGGTCGCTGGGTGGGTGGGTTATTTCTTTCCTCTGGCACTACTGCTGCAGCGTCAATGCACCGCTCGTGGTCCTCGCTGCTACATTCCGCGTCGGCGCTCGTTGCTGTTGCTGCTCCGGCAGCGGCGGCGGTTGCGTCGCCATGCAGCCATGGCTCGTTGCAAGGGCACGGAGCCCATGCGGGAGTGCCGTCCCCCCACGGAACGCTAACGCTGCAAATGGTGCCAACGCCACCAGACAGGCTCACAGGTGCTTGAGACTCGGCACTCCCCCCGAGCTGCCTTACTGCCAGCTCTCACGGCTAGCATTTGGATCTATCTAGCCTTAATGGCTGGCTGTGCATGCTCTGCGGGACGTGTTTCCCGCGGCTCCTTGCGCCTATGACCCCTGTGTGCTCTGGTCGCTTCAAAGCTCGCTGCATGAAAGGTTTGACTGCTGTGTCAGGTAACTTTTTTTGTCGATGCCCGTGCTAGAGCATGGGGGTAGACCATGGGTGGGTAATCAATCCTGTGATATTGGAGGCTCGCTTCCCAGCTGGGTCTGCCATTGCGCCCCCTTCCGCCTCCCTCTTTATAGTTGCGCTTGCGTTTCTTATTCCGTATTGACGTGTTTGCAGCTCCCAACCTTGCATCTGCTGCCCTGGTTGCAGTGGCTCCGCCGGTGTGTCTCGACCCAGCAGCGGGCCCGGGGGGGGTCAACCTCTCCTACGTGGTGGATGGCGGCCGCGACGACGCGTTTGGCGCCATGGGCGCGGTACCAGGCTCGCTGTCGGGCAAGGGAATAGGCATGGGCCCGGGGGGCATGGGCGGGGGCGGCATGCACTGCGATCCTGATGAGATGCGGGGGCTATTCCACCCAGAGGCTGCAGCGCCGCCCCCAGCGGAGGTGAAGGTCGGAGGGAGGAAAAGGAAAAACGCTGCCGGGGGGGGAGGGGGTGGCGCTGGTGGGGCTGGGGGAGGATCCCAGGGGATGGCGCATCTTGGGGGGAACGGCCTGACGGAGATTTCGCCTAACAGCCGCAGCAAGAAGGCAGCGGACGGGCTGCACAAGGGGCAGAGCATCATCATGCGCTACAACAACGAGGATGTGGCCAAGGCCCGCATTGTCTCATGCGAACGGTACGCCTCCTGCGAAAAGCTGTCGGTAACAACCGACTTGATGCCAGATTTGCACTGTTTTTATTCGTGGTTGGAGCTCTCTCCCTTCCGCACACTGCTTGCGGCACACAGGACATGCTCTGGGATGCGGACCCACCTGACACCACCCCTGAATGTGTTTCCCTTGATGCGCCGCCCCTGAATATGTTTCAGGAGTGGGTTCTGCAAGGTGCGTCTGCACAGCTTGATAACGGATGGCAGCACGCTGCTGTACGAGAACAGCCTGCCCTCTGGTCTGCGCATCCCCTTGAGCGAGGTGGGGTCTCAGGAGTTCCTGTGGCCACGGGCTGACTGTCGCAGGGACTACTACTCGTACAGCGAGAAAGCTGATAACTCCCAGGCCTCTTCCTGAGCTCGGATCTTCGTACACTTCCCACTTCTGCGCTCTCAACTGCCCTCTCGCTCTCTTACAAGTAACTGACCATCTGGTGCTCCTGGTGCGCTCCCTGGTTCGCGCGACTTCTCCTCACCAGCGTTGTCACCTAGGCAACGGCTTTTACCAGCATGCATTCTCGCTTGCTTTCACGCTGTGGCTTCCTGCGAAGTGAGCAGTAAGAAAGTCATCATCTGGTCCTAAATGCCTAAGCGATTCCCTGCCACCCCTGCTCCCCCCATCGCACGACTCATCTCCGGTTGCCTCACTCTTGGCGCTACTCACCTCACCGGATTTCCGCGCTACCCATATCTACGCGCGATCTCAGGACTCCCTCATCTTACCAGGCCGTCTAGACTTCCTCCCACCATACCCAACTCATCATTGTCCTGTCTAGTACCTGGAGCACCCTGTGTTGATCGCATCATGATGACTGCTCCTCTTGGAGATGACAGACTGACTTCTGGTCAGTTGGGATGTGCTGCTGCCTCGTGAGCTTCATGCCTTTTGCCGCAAATTCCCTCCTGGAATTTAGATCTCCCAATTCTCCCGCTTAGCCTTTCTTTGGGCCTAAATCAAGGGTGCTATGTAATGGTTTTGTGCCCTCCTGTTTCTGTTGCAGCACCTTTCTGTGCTTCTGGTGTGATACAGATGCTAGCTTGGAATGTTTGTGGGCTACATGGGTGTTGGCTAGGCTGTGGTGGGAGTGACAAGCGTTGGGTGTGAGGCTTGTGCTTCGAATGCTTGTATTTGATACCCCATGTTTACTAGGTATAGCAAGAAATCAGCTAACTATTTGTGACTTGTTTGTCTCTTCACATGTGAGCATTTACTAGAGACCCGTGTAAATCCACATTTTCACGCCGTTGTCAGCTCCACGTTTAGGAGTTCGTCACGAGATATATTTGTCCGGGCTTTCTATAACGCGTATGGTTTAATGTTAACCTGAACACACCCAAAACGCCCCCCTCGTTACACCTCAGAACTGTTTGGCAGATCTTCAGCTGCCTCTCACGGTGCTTGCTGCACCGCCTTTCGCCTACCATTCTGCTCTGCAGCCATGCCCGCGTATGCCGCAGCACGCTTCGCCCCTTCCGTGTCTCTCCTATCCGCGCATGCCGCCACTGCTCCGCGCTTCCACGGTGCGCGGAGGCTGGCTTCCGAGGCCTATGCTAAGTGCGCGAAGCAGTGCGTGGATCCGTGCGCCAAAGCCAGCGCTCCTTTGCTAATGCGCACGATCCGCGGTGGGTCCAGCTCCGCGCAAGGCTGCCTCGCCGCGGGAGCATCTTCTGGAGCGCGCGGAGGGCGCAGTGTGGCGGGGTTTGGGGTTTGGAGGTCGAGCGTATCGATGAGGCTGCTGCACACTGCTTGCGTCTTGCGCTCTCCTAGCGCTAGCTGCATCAGCAGTGTTAGCGTGCTGTGCGTGCCGGCGTGGCGTTGTGCTGTGCGTCCCGTTTCTCCCGTTACTGGATCTCGTTCTCTCCCTCGCGTTTCAGTCACACGCGGCGTATCACGTACTTTCTTCTCCCTCGCTTCTCGGCCCTCCATTCGCCGTTCCCCCGGTTCTCCTTCCCACGCACCTCGCGATAGATCCGCCGCATTTCATGTTACTACCGCGCTTTCGGTTACCACTTCCGCTGCTTCACTCTCGCTTTTCTGGTCCGCCTGCGCCCCCGCCGCCGCCGCCGCCGCTTCCGGTTCCTCCTGGGGACCCCGCGTATCCTCTTCGTCCCCGTTTGTTCTTTCCGCTTTTCCGACTTTTGCTGCGCGATCCGCGCTCCCCGCTTCCGCCAGCTGCGCCAGCGTTTCCGCGGTTGCGGAGCTCTCTTCCCCCGCCGATGCTGCGCGCGCGGGCTGGCTGCGCGGATTCGGCAGCTCCGCAGGGGCGTCCGCTGCGCCGAGGCGGAAGGAGAAGCTGCGGATAGTTGACAGGACGGGCGGAGAGGCAAATAAGGCGCTGGGAATCCGAGAAAAGAAGAAAAAGAAGAAAAAGACGGGGAAAGCGGGCGAGAAGCGGAAGACCAAGTACTATGGCGAGGGGTTTGGGACGACGGGGGTTCCTCTTGCGCGGAGATGGGAGGATTACGATAAGCGCCGGTGGGAGGATCCCGAGGGGTGGCGCGGTGGAATCCTAGGCCGCCCGGAAGTCGCGGGGAACCGCGCGCAACCGGCGGATCGGGCGACTATGAGGGTTTTTAAGAACTGGGGGCGGCTTGAGGATGGCTTGACGCAGCTTAAAGCGCTGAAGCGGGGGGGAGGGGAGGCGGACGCGCGGAGGGGGAAGGCGGGGATTGGGGAGGCGGTTGCGGAGTGGGGAGGAGGAAGGGGGGGAGGGGGGGGAGGGGGAGGAGGAGGGGGAGGAGGGAAGGGAGGGGGACACTTGAAGAAAAAGGCGGGAGAGTTTAGCTGGAAGCCGAATCCGAACGATCTGCAAGGGGCTAGGAGTGTGGGGGTAAAGGAAGAGGAGAGGGAGGAGGGGGAGGAGAGAGGTAATTGGCGGGAAAGGGGGGCGAGGGCGAGTGGCGGAAGGGGGGGAGAGGAGTGGGGGGAGAGAGGGGCTAGAGGGGAGAGGCGCGAGAGGGGAGGCGGGGCTGGTGGTGGGGCGTGGGGCAGCGGCGGCGGCGGCGGGGGGGGGAGGAGTGAGGGGCGGGAGCGGAATGGGGAATGGGGTGGGCGGAGGGAGTACGGGGGAGGGCGGGATTCAGGGGTGGATAACCAACAGGTGAGGCAATATGGGGGAGGAAGGGACTATGGGGGGGGGAGGAGGGAAGTGGATAAGCCCGCACGAAGGGAAACAGGGAGGCCGTCTTGGGATGACGTGGACAGTGGCCGTAGTGACGAGGACGCTGACGTCATGTCGTTCTGGTCCAACGTCGACGTGGACAGCCCCCCTGGCGCCGCGCGGAGGGGCGCGGGGGAAGGGGCGGGGCAGGGAAGGGTAGGCGGAGACGCGCCGGGGGGAAGGGGCGGAGAGAGGGGAGGGGGAGGGGGGAAGGGAGAGGAGGGGAAGGTAAGGGCTGGTCTCGCGATTATGCTGCTATGGAGTGGGGAGAGAAGGGCGGAAGAGGAGCAGGGGGAAGGGCGGAAGGGGAAGGGGAAGGGGATGGGGATGAGGAGCCCAGGCGGGGGGGAGCTGGGCGCGGAAGGGGCATGCTTCCGCGAACCAGCACACCTGGCGGGGGGGGGAAGCGGAAGATGGGGGTCTGGGGAAGGCAGGGGAGATGCGTACGAGGAAGATAACTGGGGCAAAAAGGCAGTGGGGGGAGCGCCGCGGGCGGTGATGAGGGGAGGGGCGCAGGGGCGGGCTGATGGCGGAATGGGCAGGGGACGTGGGGACTTTGGGGGGAAGAACACGCAGGGTGCAGGAAGGGGGAGGTGGGGGGACGGACAGGGGGGGAGAGGGGGGGATGGGGGGGAAATGAGGTCACGAGGCAGTAGGGAAGGGGGGTGGGGAGTGGGTGGGGGAGGGAGGGGGGGCGGTCTAGGCGCACGTGAGAGGGAGGGAGGAGGAAGAGGAGGCGGAGGAAGAGGGGGAGGGCGAGGTGGTGGGGGAGGAGATAGGGGTGTGGTTGGTGCAGGAGCAAGCAGCAGAAGGTTTCAAGCCCAGGAGCCCAGCAGCAGCAGCAGCAGCAGTGGCCGGTTCGGCGATGCAGAGGAGAGCAACGACAGGTGGGCAGAGGCCGAGTATAACGATTCCGATGAGGGTGATGATTACGACGACAGCTATCCCGGCTATCCCGACGCCAGCAGCAGCAGCAGCAGCTGGAGCAGCGGCGGTGCGTCCGTCACCCCGACCTCTCTCCGCGGCGAGCCGATCTACGGCGTGTCCCCGGTCCTCGCAGCTCTCCTCTCCTCCCGCCGCCGCATCCACGCGCTCTACACGCAAGACGGGCTGGAGGACGGGCTCAGGGGCGGCGGCAAGCGCAAGGACAAGGGCGCGGTGGAGCGGGCGTTGAGAGCAGCGGAAGAGGCGGGAGTGGAGCGGGTGGTGGTGAGCAAGCACGAGCTGAATCTGCTGTCGGGGAACCGGCCGCACCAGGGCTTGGTGCTGGACGTGTCGGGGCTGCAGCTCGCGCCAATCGACGCGCTGCCGGTGTGGTCTGTGGGTGCGGCGCGTGCTGCTGCTGTGAGTGCTTCAGCTGCAGAAGCAGCAGGGGCAGCAGCAGGGGCAGCAGGGGCGGCAGTGGCGCCGCCGGTGTGGGTGGCGCTGGACGAGGTGACAGATCCTCAGAATCTGGGTGCGATTCTGCGGTCGGCGCACTTCCTGGGGGCGGCGGGCGTGGTGGTGTGCGCCAAAAACTCTGCCCCGCTCTCCGCTGTCGTGTCCAAGGCCAGTGCGGGCGCGCTCGAGATCATGGAGGTGAGAACGAGGCCCGGCTGGTCTGTGGAGGTAAGAGGCTGAGCGTGTGGTGGTGTGCGCCAACTGGGCGCCGCCGATGTCCACGGTGGTGTCGTCTAAGGCCAGTGCGGGCGCGCTCGAGATCATGGAGGTGAGAGGTTGTGTCGTGGTGTATGTGTGTGTGTTCGCGCATGTGTATGAGGTGTGATTGAGTTGCGCTGTTCATCTTTGATGCGCCTCAAGAACTCGGCGCCGCTCCCCGCTGTCGTGTCCAAGGCCAGCTTGGGCGCACTCGAGATCATGGAGGTGATCACGTGCATTCCTGTGCATTCCTGTGCATTCCTGTGCATTCCTGTGCATTCCTGTGCTTTCCTGTGCATTCCTGTGCTTTCCTGTGCATTCCTGTGCTTTCCTGTGTATTCTATTTGCACAACACGTGAATTGCTCATGCTTGAGGGCATTTGACTGCACAGGATGTGAAGAGCTTATTTCTGCCCCCCTGTCACTCTCCTCCCGGGTTTCCCTGCTCCGACTTTGGACCATCCCGGTCCCCATCCCCATCCCACCTCAACCCCACCCCAGGTGCACCCCTGCACCATCATGATGTCCTTCGTTGCTCGTGCTGCTGCCAACGGCTGGCTGGTGTGGCGCAGCAGCATACCCTTCTGTGGCCGAAGGGACAGTTCGTGATCTCCCCCCCTCTCCCCCCCTCTCTCCCCCTCTCCCCCCCTCTCCCCCCCTCTCCCGCCCTCTCCCGCCCTCTCCCGCCCTCTCCCGCCCTCTGCTTCCCTCTGCTTCCCTCTGCCCCCCTCTGCCCCCCTTGGTTCCCCACCCCCAGGTGCACTTGTACGCCAACATGATGCGCTTCCTCGGCCGCTCCGCCGCCAACAGCTGGCTGGTGGTGGGCGCAGCAGCCGACCAGACACCGGTCCTGTGAGCGGCAACACATCACACGGCCCCCTCTCTGCCCCGCTCGCCCCCCTTGTTCTCCACGTCCACTGCCACCCCTCTCCCAGGTGCACTCGTGCGCCAACATGATGCGCTTCCTCGCTCGCTCCGCTGCTAACGGGTGGCTCGTGGTGGGCGCAGCAGCCGACCCCTCCGCCATCCCCATCTCGCGCCTCTCCACCGGAGGCTCCCCCACGCTGCTGGTGCTGGGCAGCGAGGGGGCCGGCCTGCGCACCAACGTCAAGCGCGCCTGCGCGCACCTTGTGCGCATTAGCGGAGCGGCTTCTTGTGGGGATGTTGGCGGAGGAGTAGTGAAGGGAGGGGGTGTGGATGCTGAGGCGACGGAGGAGGTGGGTTGGGGGATAGAGGAGGAGGAGAGGGAGGGAGGGGAGGGAGGGGAGGGGCAGAGCGAGGTCGAGATGGGTAGAGAGGGTGAGCTGGATGCTCCTGGTGCTCTGAAGAGCGAGCCAGGAGAGGGAGGGGAGGGGGCACGCAAGGGTGTGGGGGTTGTGCGTGGGCTAGGGAGTGGGAGTGGTGTGGGTGTGCGGCGTGGAGGGCCCAAGGTGGTGGATAGCTTGAATGTGAGTGTGGCTGCTGGCATTCTGCTGCACCATCTCACCAACTCTTCGGTGGAGCCGCCGCCACCAGAGCTATAGATGCGGTGACTTGCGATGGGCGTATATGTGTGCTTCCATGTGGGTGTGGGTGCTTGTGCTTGCATGTGGATTTGCATGGCTAGTGCTTTCATCTAGCGTGAAGGTTGATGACGTGCAGAGATATGATAATCGACCACTACTAGTTTCCATCAACGCGACATCTCGTACTTACAGCTTACAAGTGTAAAAGTGGAGAGGTTAGTAGCGAAATTGCCTTCGGCTGCCCATCCCTGTACCAGTTTACCTGACTTTCCGACAGCATCCGGACCGGAGCCCCCAGTTTCCTTACTCCCCTGCCCGTTTGTTTCTGCCATTTGCGTCAGTATTTGCCGAGCCTCGGTCGCAGTCTCAAAGTTTCCCTCCTTTTTAGCCTCGGTCGAAGCCACGTCATTGCTTCTGGTCGAAGGGATAGGCTCGGAAGAATCTCCCTGCCATGGGGAATTCCCGCGTCAAGAGAGGGGCCAGTCAGTCGTCAGAGAGACTCGGAAGTCAAAATGTACGCGATAAAGACGGAGCGAGTCCCCCAGTAGACTACACTATGAGAGGTAGGAGTCAGGGTAGGGTAGACTGAGGGGTTAGAATAACCCTAGCCAGATTCTCTAGGGAGCTCATTCTCGGGATAAAATTTCCGCCCCTCCCGCTCTCTCACCAGACATCATTGAAAGTCACGGGAGCAATCGTAAAAAGCGATGAGCAGGAAAGACTTGAACACGTGATTCAAGTCCTCCGTACTGGAAGTCTTCGCGCCTTAGCGCCTTCGTGCCTTTGTGCGGTTGTTTGGTTGCAGCTCTGCTGCTTTTTGAACCAGTCCGTGCTTCCTCTTGTGTCCTGGTTTCAGCCTGCTGATACTGTACTTACCTCTTTAGCCAGTCCGCCCTTACACGTGAACCGGTCGGTAACTCCTGTGAGCTTTTAGGGTGCACGCCTCTTGTCATGCTGAGGTGTGGCGTGGTGGCTGAAAAAATAGGTGCACCCTCCTTGGCTGAACGGCGTGCGAAGTAAGGTGGTTAGAGTTTGGATTAGAAACTTTCGGCGGTGGTTAGAGTTAACATTCAGCGGAGATGGCGGAGGAGGATGAGTTTGCATTGGACGATCAGGAGATGGTGGATTTCGACGCGTCGGATTACGAGCTGGATTCCGAGGATCTGGACGGTCAGGATGAGGAGGTGGAGGAGGCTGGGAAGGGAAGCACAGTAGAGTTAGAAGCCACTTCGCTACCAGCCGCCAGGGATTTTAATCCGGCTAAGATTGCCACGGGAGAGGCGACGGGAGAGGCGACGGCTGACGTGGAGAATATCAAGGATTCGACGGCGGATGCGAGAATTCATCGTGCAGGGACGCCAGATGGGCGGGAGGATGCGACGGACAGGCAGGAGCAGGAGCCGATGGGAACGGCGACGAAGACCCAGACGATGCAGCGTGGCCTGGACCCCATGCAGCAGCCACGCGGGAAGCCGGAGGTTCGTCCCGATGCGATTTTCGACTCGTCGTCAGGCGGCGGGCAGCGGAACACCATGGGAGCTGAGGGATCTGGGGGAACCGCGACGGGTGTGGAAGCCAAGAGATGTGTTCCTGTTTCTGATGCGGGTGGCGGTCTGGGTGGCGGTGCGGGTGGCGGCAAGGGTGGCGGCAAGGGTTTTGAGCGGTCAGGAGAGTGGGAGGATGGAGAACTCCACGAAGCCGCTGATTCCGCCGTCGATTTCGGCGCTGATTGCGGACCTGCTGACACGGTGAATAACTGGGAAGCCCAAGCCCATCCACCTGCCGCGCCTAGCTCTATTTTTTAGTCGACTCAAAACATACATGGATATAAAGACACGGTGATTAACATGGGAGCCCATCCACCTGCCTCACCTAGTTCTCGTCTTCCTTCAGCCTTGCTCCGCCGACCCTTCTCTGACCCTCTCACCGTCTGACCGTCAATCGCACAGATACCGCTTGACCTTTCCGTCACTGGGAGCATACTATCCGTCAGCATACTTTCCGTCAGCGTACTTTCCGTCAGCGTACTTTCCGTCACCGCGTAGCAAACTTTCCGTCAGCGTACTTTCCGTCGCCGCGTAGCAAACTTTCCGTCAGCGTACTTTTCGTCACCGTATATGTTTCTTTCGGGAACAGTGTTGCGTACCTCTTAAGGCAGTGCAGCGCGTTTTTTCTAGCAGTAAGACGTCTATCCCGACACGCTATAGCGTTTGTTTCGACACAGCCTTAAATTGTCTCGTGCGTGAGCTTCAAGCGCCACAGCCGGCGACTACGGAGGGAGTGCGATATAGAGCGCGACAGAGCACGCGACATAGTATGACTGTAGAACGGTTTAGCAGCGTTTTTCTGACTGTAGAACGGGCGTTTTTCTACCGACGAAGCACAGCTGCTGTTCTGGTCCCGCGTCTTATCACAGAGGGGGGACCCCCACTAACGCTCCCCATGGTTACACAAGAAGTTACGGAGATTGAGCGGAGATTGAGCGGAGATTGAGTGGAGATTGAGTGGAGATTGAGTGGAGATTGAGAGGAGATTGATTGGAGATTGAGCGGAGATTGAGCGGAGATTGAGTGGAGATTGAGTGGAGATTGAGTGGAGATTGAGTGGAGATTGAGCGTGTGAGCATAAGTCGTGATTCTAAGGGGGAAAGGGGGAGGGGGAAGGGAGAGGAAGACAATTCAAGGTCACTGGTAAAGGGGGAGAGGGCGAGGAGGGAGGCTGTTGGGGGGGGGAGGGGAAAGAGAGGCCGGAAGGTGATGGGTGTTGATGTGGGGAAGAAGGACAGTCAAACGAAGGCTGGGAAGGGTTGGCAGGGGTTGGGAAGGGCTAAGAAGGGATGGAAAGGGTTGGAAAGGTGGCGGGAGGGTTGGGTAGATGGTTGGGTGTTTCTGCGCTCGACCTAGAGCATGCGCTGCGAAGGCGGAGTTTGGTAAAGTTTTTGGGAGGGGGGCGTGTGGGTTTGATGGTGCGCGCTCGGTATTGGAGGGGGGAACGTGTGATGTTCGAACCGAAGTTGTGTGTGTTGAGGTGGGATCGAGGGAAGGAGTAAGGGTGGCATGCGGCGCGCTAAAGCGGCGGGGGAGGCGCAAGTCTGCGCGCTCGCGCGCGCGCGCGTGCGAGAGAGATAGAGAGAGGGGGGGAGTGGAGAGGGAGGGGGGGCGGGTGAAGCATATAGAGGGAGTGAATGTGAGAGAGAAGAGCGCGTGTGGGAAGGATAGCTTGGGAAGAAGGGCGGGCTGGAGTCGGGGCGGCGATGCTGTTGCCCCGTGTAGTTCAAGTCGTGGAATGGAGGAGAGGAGAGCGGTGCGAAATGAGGAAACGGTGGAGGTGGGACGAAGGGAGGCAAGGGTGGGTGGGCAATGGTGCCTCAGCAGCGGGCAATGGTGCCTCGGCAGGGGGCAATGGTGCCTCGGCAGTGGGCACTCCATGGGTGTCTGCTTGCTGCGCCTGCTTGCTTAACAGGGATCTTTAGAACATCTCCCTCCCCGGTTGGCAGCTTCTGCAGCTGGTAGCTCATCCTTGTGGTTTCCAGGACGTTTCCAGGGCCTTTTTCAGTGGCCCATTTTTTGGGTTACCCTTCATACTTCCTCCATACTACCTCCATACTACCTCCATACTTCCTCCATACTACCTCCATACTACCTCCATACTTCCTCCATTTCTGACTCTGCTCACCCCATGTGGCATCTCGTCCTGGCTGGATGTGACGTTTCCCACATGGTGTCCTCCCTTTGCTCCGTCGGTATCAGTATCTTCTCCCATTTCTCCCTCTTTTAAAAAACTTCTCTCTATTTCTCTAGACCTTGGGAGTTGTTTCGGTCTCAGTATTCCTTCCTTTGCTCCCTGCCTGGCCAAAACCTTGTTGTTGCTCATCGTTCAGAGGGAAAGTTGGTAGTGTAGGGAGAAAGGGAGGGGCGAGGATAGTAGGGGTGCGGAGGGAGCGAAAGGTGTGTGATGTTTCGGCGTATGTATTGGCTAGCTTCTCAGTATCATCTCCTTGCGAGGGCTGGGGTGCTTTGGCAGCAGGATGGGGCTCGCATCAAAGCGGCAACGGCTGACATACGTGGGGAGAACCAGGAAGAGCAGGAGCAGGAGGAAGAGGAGGAAGGGGGGGAGGAGGAGGAGGAGGAGGAGGAGGAGGAGGAGGATGATTGGGAGGAGAGTGAGAGGCGAGAGCACCGGCTGTCGAGTAACAGACGAAGGGAGAGGCGGCAGGAGAGGTTTACTGAGGGTTCTGAGAGGGAGCGGGACAGGAAGAGGGAGAGGGCGAAGGAGGAGGCAATGGAGGGGAAGAGGGGGAGAGAAAGGGAGAGGGAGAGGGAGAGGGAGAGGCAGAGGGAGAAGGAGGAGGTGAGGGAGAAGGGGAGGGACATGGAGGATGGGGAGCTGGAGGAGCAAGGGAAGGTGGAGGAGGGGGGGGAGCAGCCGAAGAGGGCCCTAGAGAAAGGGAGAGATGGGAGGGGAGCGGTAATGGGTGTGGAGAAACGCAGGAGGGTGGAGACTGAGAGGTGAGTGCAATGCAAGATGTGTGAGACCCGCCTCTGCTTCTGCCCTTGTTGTCTTGTTGTGCTTGTGCTTGTGCTTGTGCTTTTCCGTTGTGCGCGTGAGCTATCTCTGGGTGAGCTATCTCTGTGTGAGCTATCGCTATGTGAGCCATCTATGTGTGGCCCTTTCCCACACCAGAACCCTGAATCTCTTCCCACCCTTTCTTTCATCCCACGGCCGATCACCACATTGTCAATGGCGATCACCACAAAACCGTTGTACCCTAATCAGCCATGGCGATGCGGAGTCGGTCTGTTTTCGTTCGAGGCGCCTCAAAAATCGACTTATCGTCGCATTGTGACTTTTGAGACGACTCAGAAGTATTTTTGAGGCGCCTCGAAATTAGACCCATCCTCACGTTGTCACCACAGTCTCGTTTCCCCTCATCGTTCCTGTCCATCTCCACCCGCGCCCACTCTCTCCCCCGCAGGCCTCTCCCCTCTCTACGCATCCAGTCTTCATCTCCCCATCCCATGCACCCTCTACCATGGCCGCCGCACCACACATCCCACCTAGCCACTCCCTCGCTCCAGCAGCAGCACCTCCAGCAGCAGCAGCAGCAGCAGCAGTTCCGTCTCCCGCCTCCCCGTGCTTCTCCTTCCGCCCCTATAGGCGCGTCAGCAGCCGCCATTCACGCCCACCCGCCCTTGGACCACCGAGCCTTGCCCCTCCCTCGCAGCAGCAGCGCCTCTTACACCCACAGCAATGGCCCGATACCCTTTCCCCAGGGGGGCCCTATACGGTCCCTGGAGCACGTGAATGCCCTGCGTGCTGCTGCTGTGCTGCCGTTTGAGGCGCCTCACAAGGGGCATGGGGCGCAGGCAATGCATCCCGGCATGCATCCCGGCATGCATCCCGGCGTGCATGTGCATCCCCCAATGAACGTGATAAACCCCGTCCACCCACAAGCACAGGCGCAAGCGAATGTGCACGCGGCAGCAGCGGCGGCAGCAGTAGCAGCGGCAGCAGCGGCAGCAACAGCACAGGGGTTTCCCACTTCCAGGGCAAGCATTGCACACCAGCACCATCACCAGCACCATCACCAGCACCAGCAGCAGCACCAGCAGCAGCAGCACCTCCCGCCCCCTGAGGTTGCTCTGCTGCTGCGTGGCTCTGGCCCTGTGCCTCTGCCTCTGAACCAGCGCCCCCCTCTGAGTCCCCTGGACCTCCCTGACCGACTTGCCCCCCATGCTTTCCCCGGCCCTCCCCCCCTGTCCATGCGCCCGCCTCTCCTCCCCCTGCACCTCTCCCCAGCCCCGGGCCTTCCCTCTCGCGTTGCTTCCTCTGCTGCTGCAACAGCGGCTGCTTTGAGGGGTGGGGGGGCAGTGAGGGCGGGAGGAGGGGGAGGCGGAGGAAGGGGAGAAGGTGAAACAGCACTCGTAGGTAGGCAGTTTTTCTTTTCTTTTCTTGGGGGAGGGAGGAGGGGATGGGGGTGGGGGGGTGTAGTGGGTGTTTGTGCTGGGGCATCGTGTTGTAGTTGGTGTTCTTCCTTCCTCCCGTCCTTCCAACCTATCCTCCTCCCCAGCAGCAAGCATGTGCTGCTGCCTTGCGCTGCGCTATTTTGAGTTGCGTCGTTCCCAACTTGCGCCCCCTGCCTTGCCGCCTTGACTGTGCTCCCAACTCTCGGTTTGGCATCTCAGGTGGTGGCTTTGGGCCTCTTCCTGTAAGCTTGGGATCTGCTGCATCTGGTTACCGCTTGCAGCAGCCGGCTCAGCAGCAGCAGCAGCAGAGGCAGTTGCAGCAGGAGCAGCAGCAAAGGCAGTTACAACAAGAGCAACTGCAAAGGAATCTGCAGCAGCAGCAAAGGGTACTGCAGCAGCAGCAGCAGCAGCATGCATCCCGGGAGCAGCGACAGTTGCAGCAGCAGCTGCTGGTGCAGAAGGAGCAGGTGAACCAGTTTATGCAGATGCAGCAGCAGAGGGAGCTGCACCATCAGCAGCAGCAGCAGCAGCAGCAAAGGCAGTTGCAGCAGGAGCAGGAGCGAAGGCACCTGCAACCGCAGCAGCTAAGCCCCTTGCAGCAGCACCAGCAGCACCAGCAGCAGCAGCAGCAGGCACGGAGGCAGCAGCAGCAGCAGCAGTGGGAGGGTGTGCTAGGGGGAGGTGGCGCCAGTAGAGCTAGCACAGCAGCAGGAGTAGGCGCGTCCCACTTCATTGGATTCCGTTCACCCCCCATCCCAGCAACCTCAACTGCCCCAACCACCCCAATAACCTCAGCCACCCCAGGGATCCCTGCCGTCCCACCCAGCATGCCAGGGGGTCCGTCCCTTAGACCATCTCCTGGCCTTCCGCTCTCTGGCCCCCGTGGGGAGGTTTTCCCCGCGCCAGTGGGGGGGTTTTCCCCCCGAGACCCTCCCCCGCGGCCGTCCCTGTTCCAGCATCAAGGGAGGAGAGAGGAGGAGGGGGTGTTGGGCAGAAGGGGGGATTGGGGGGAGATGGTGGGGGACGGGAGAGGGGGGAGGGGAGAGGGCAGGGGCGGGGGAAGAGGCGGGAGAGGAGAGGAAGTGGGGGGGAGAGGAGGGGAATGGGGAGGAAGAGGTGCGTATGTGGGGGGAAGAAGAGGAGAGGAGTTGGGAATGAGAGGGGGGGAATCGGGGGTGAGAGGAGGGGAGACCGGGGGGAAAGGTAGGGAAGTTGGGGGAAGAGGAGGAGACATGGGTGGCACGCTGAGGAAAGAGGAGAGAGGGTTTGTGTCTGGCTGGGGGGTTAGGGATGACGCTGGGATGGATTGGGCAAGTGCTAGGGAAAAGGAGAGGGGTCGGGAGTGGGATGGAGATAGGGATAGAAAGAGGGTTAGGGAGAGTGACAGGAGGGATCAGAGATTCTCACTGGGTGGGAAGGAGTGTGAGCGGGTGGAGAGGGGTGGGCACCACGACCAGGGGGTGCAGCAGCAGCAGCAGCAGCAGCAGCAGCAGCAAGAGCAGCAGCTGCTGCAGAAGGAGTTGCAGCTGCGGCAGCAGCTGCAGCTGCTGCTGCATCGGCAGAAGGAGCAGGAACCCCAGCAAAAGCAACCGATTCAGCAGGTACGGCATGTGGGGCAGCATGCAGGCCGTGACCAGCAGCAGCAGCAGCAGCAGCAGCGGAGTCAAGTGACACGACCATCGGCTCCTGGTGTTGCTGGTGGTGCTGGTGCTGGTGCCAGTGGTAGTGCTGCTGCTTCTGCTGCTTCTGGCCCTCCTCCTCCTGCTCCTCCTCCTGCTGCTGCAGCCTCAGTGCCTCGCAGCAGGCTGGCGGGAAGGGTCCAGGAGATGGGTGAAGGAGCAGCGTTGCAGCAGACAGTGCAAGGCAGAGGCAGAGCCACGGGTGGGGGCGCCGCCCAGGTGCCTCGTGGGGAAGCAGGGAAGGAAACGGGGGGGGAAACAGTGAGATACGCTGAGATAAAGCCAGGTCAGAGGGTGGTGAATTCTGCTAGAGGTGGAGCTGCAGCAGCTGCAGCAGCAGTTCCTGTGGTAGGTTCTCGAAGAGCAGGAGGAGCAGGGGTAGCAGGGGTTTCTGCACCTGCGAAGGCACCAGCATCAGCATCAGCACCAGCAGCAGCAGCAGCAGCAGCAGCAGTGGCTGGGGGTCGTGTGATGGAGGGGGGACGAGTTCGCTTGAGACGAGACAGTTACACCGGCGCTGCTACTGCTGCTGTTGGTGTGACACCCGTTGGTACTGCCTCTCCTCGTGTTGGGCCCTCATATGCTCTAGGCAGCGTTGCTGCTGCTGCTGCTGCTGCTGGTGCTGGTGCTGGTGCTGGCGCTGGTGCTGCTGCTTCTGCTGCTGCTGGTGCTAGAGGGAAGGGAGCGGAGCTGAATGGTGCAGCACCGAGCCGTGCAAGGGGTGCGGCCAGTGCTGCTGTTGCTCGAGTGGGCGGTGGGACGACTGCAGTGGGCAGCCGTCCTGGTGCAAACGGTGCTGGTGGTGCTGGTGGTGCTGGTGGTGCTGGCAGTGCTGGCGATGGCGGTGGTTTTAGTAGTGGAGCAGGCAAGGAAGGGCCTGGTCACACGTCTGTAGTGAGCCTAACCACCTCACAGCTCAAGTCACAGTGAGTGCACCGATCTTCTCACACTCTCTCTCCCCCTCGGCACAGTGTTTCTCTCCTCCTCCCCCCTCCACCTGTCGTGATCCTTCCGGCTCTATTCCTCCCAGCCCCCGTTTATCACCTTTCCCTATTGATTTGCTTGCTCCAACCCCCTTTGGGTTGCGCGCTACCGTGTATCCACTTTCCTGCGAGTTCTTTCCGTGTTCACCCTGTGTGTGACGGATCCTCCATCCCTGCCATTTCATTCTGCGGGTTCTTACCATGTATTCATTCTGCGGACAGCTCTAGCTTCAGATTCAGGGTTGTCAGAATGAAGATTCCGACCCTATCCGTGCTCTCGCCCCTCCTCCCTTCCTCCTCTGCCAAGAAGCTTCCCCTGCCTTATACTCCTGTTTCCCCCATCCTCTTAATCTCCTCTCCCCTCCTCCGCCCTTCCATCTCCCCACTCCCCCCCCCCCCCCCCCCTACTTACCCTTCCCCCCTCTTCTGTCCTACTTTCACTTCTCCCCCAGAGTGCTGCGAGTGGCAGGGCTTCCCGCCGCCACTCCTGTGCAGACAATCATCAGCGCTTTCAACGAAGTTGGGAAAGTTGGAGTACGTCCCTGTGCACTTCCTGCTCAACTGTGCGCGCGCCCTTGTTGCATTTGTCACATGGCAATCCGTCACGTGGTCATTCCTTCTCCCACTCGTTCTCTCTGCCTCCCTCCGTGCCTCCCTCTCTCCCTTCCTCTCCACCCCCTCTCGTCTCCTCACACCATGTACCAACTCACTCAGCTCAGCTCAGCTACTGTCGTGCACTTGCAAGTCTGGATTTATTTCAATGCACCTTCCGGCCTCTTCCCTTTCACCTACTGTCCTCACTTCCCAACCACCCTTCCGGTTCCCGCCCCACCCCCCTTCTCCTCTTCCCCCCCCCCCAAAAAAAACCCTGGGCTTGAACCGTTGCCTGGCGCCCGCAGCATGTGGGCTTGTCGGATGGTGACTTTCTCCTCACGTTCGACTCGGTGCGCACGGCCACCATCGCCAAGCGCATGATGCACCGGTACGTACGTGGCAGTGGGATGTGCTCATGCATGATGTCTTGAGTCGAGTGAAAAGCCATCTGGGCTGGGTGCATTCACCCTTGCTGCTGCTGAACAATGTGCGTGCAACATGGGTTTATTCAAAGACCGGATTTACATGGAGAGATGGATGGTGTGAGAGATGGGCATTGCACTAGTGCTTGTTCTTGTTCATGCATGACCATTGGCGAGGCTCTCCTTTCGTTTGTGTATTATACCAACAATGTCCCATACCACTCTCCTTTCGTTTGTCTGGTTTTTCTCCAGGTCCCTGCTAGCAGGCCATCAAATCACAGTGGATTTTGCGCGGCAGTAAAATGCACCGGCATATGGTTGTCTACGTGTTGTGATATATATGTGCGGAGGTGTACAGACATATCTTGTTGGGAATCAACAATCCGGAAGGCACCACCAGTGAAGTGGGAAATGCTTCTATGGGGGTCGATTCTCCTGTGGTACTCTCATGTGCATAACGAGTCCGAGCAAATCGAAGAGCACTAGTGCGCCCAATCCCTAGCACTGATCCGATCAATCAGATCTGACCGACTTGCGAAACACGCCCTCGGGGCTCTCCAGAAGGCACCAAGATTTTCCAAATTACCGGACTGCAACCATCAGCTACCTGCATAATTGGCTCCAAACCGCACGCCACCGATCCAATCAAGCAGATTCTTACAGCGTGTCCCGCGCGTACGTTGGGTTGCGGTTGGGTGAGATCCTTTGGGAGTCAGAAAGTACTCGTGACGATCTGAAACGGTTAAGGGTCTTGAGCTAGAAACGTGCGCGCGAGACACGCCCTCAGCGTCTCTCGGTAGTCAGAACGGGACTGGAGTGCTCGGACCATTTCCTCACAACAAATAGCTCTCTTCTATCGTCTCAAATCTAAGAACGTCGCTCCGTACCACCCAGACTTGACGAGTGACAGTACTGTACCCATCTCGCATCTGCCGCCGCTCTCTTTGTCTCCTTCGCTGCCAGCCATGGCTCGCGCGGCAGTTTTCCTTGTCGTCGCGCTGTCGCTCCTCGGCGTTGCGGCGGCGGAAGTCGCGGCGCGCGACGTGCTGGTGCTGGACGAGAGTAACTTCAAGTCCACCGTGAGATCTGACTCCCCTTGACTCCTCTTCCCCTCCTCTTCGACTCTTCCACTCCTCTTCGACCCCTGTTGACTGCTCTTCGACTTCCCTTCGACTTGTTGTCGACTTTTCGGCAACCCCGCAGTTGTCTCCGTCTATCGTTCTCTCTGCTGCATGAAGGCCCCCACTTGCGCCGCCCCTTTTTTTTCTCTCCTTTTTTCTTTTTCTTTTCCAAAATTATTTCCGTCTCCTTGTGCGTCTGTCGTTCCGGTGCAGATCGACGATCATTCCAAGGCTTATTTCGTCAAGTTTTTCGCACCGTGGTGTGGCCACTGGTGCGTTCCTCTTCCGTTCCCCTCCGCTCCCCTCCGTTCACCTTCATTCCACTCCGCTCCCACTCCATTCCCCTCCGCTCCGTTCCCGTCCCGTCAACACCGCGCCGATCCCTTCTCGTGCACCCCGTTATCCCGGCACGCTTTCCCGTACTTATGTTCCCATCCGCTCTGCTCATGCCCCGTCGTCCAAACCGCGTCCTCCGTCTCCGCCTTCTTCCGATTCCTCACACATTTCGTGCCTCTTTCCCGGCCCTGAATCTTCCCTGTCCGCCAATCCCCTCCGCCGATCCCCTCCGCCGATCCCGGCGCAGCAAGCGGCTGGCGCCGACATGGGCGGAGTTGGCGGCGGCGAAGGTGGCGCCGGAGGTGGTGGTGGCGCATGTGGACTGCACCGCCTCGCGCAGCGTGTGCGAGGAGCAGGAGGTGAGTGCACATGCGGTGCTCGCTGCTTGGCATGCTGAACCCATTGCTGCTTTGAATATCTCGACAAACCTGGCTCTCACCTCAATATTCCCTCAATCCGCATTCCCTCTGTGCTTTCAAAATACATGCTGATCAGGATGTTTCTTCTGACAGGGCTGTTTGTTGGTCTCTGCTCTCATACTTGTGTGATTCACCTTGTGTTGTGCGGTTGCATCGTGCTCGCGTTGGGCTCCTGGCGTGCTGTGGCAGATTCGTGGATACCCGACGCTCAAGGTGTTTGTGAAGGGGGAGGGGAAGGAGAAGTACTCTGGTGGGCGTGACTTGGCGGCGCTGAGTGCGTATGTGCAGGAGGTAGCAGAGGATTTCAAGGACTCTCTGGCTTCTGCAGAGGCTAAGGCAGCAGATGTTGAAGCAGCTGCATGAATTGATTAATTGTGAAAGCTTGCTAGCTTTGCTTGCAATGGCATCGTGCTCACTTAAACTGGAATGGCTTCGTCGTCATCCCCCATATATAACATCCGCCGAAATAGTCACTCCATGGGTGATTAATACAGGACGGAGATTATGATACGGTGCATTTTTAAGAGCACCCGTTTTTCTGACACTGATTATTGTGAAAGCTTGCTTGGGTCATCGCGAAGGCAGCGTGCTTCATTTCATATGGGACTGCGTACATGGTTCTCGTCAGGCCCCAGGATTCGTTTTTTGGCACGCTGATTTATCTGTGAGAAAGAGAGAATGTATGGACTAGTGTGAGAAACCTAGAACATGTACCTGTTGGGGTTGTACTCACTAGAAGCACACACCTAGGCTAGCCTATAACTTCTACATACAGCATATGTATAAGTTGACACACCCCCTAGGCTAGAGAAGGGGTGGTGCTAAGGTGGCACTACTAGTCCAACCACTGAGGTAGGGGTCCTGAGACCAGTCAGCAAGAGTACAAGCAAGACTAAAGCAAGCCAGGGCGGCACTACTAGTCCAGCCACTGGAGGAAAGGCCACAAGGCCAGTCAGAGAGGTATATATAATAGAGAGTACACAATCAGGGTCCTAACAGGTGAGTAGCTACAAGAACAAGACCAAGCTGCACACAGTGCCGCTGATGATCTTTAGGCGCAAGCGCCTTAGTAAAGTTTATCAGAAAGAAAAATGATTTTAACTAGAATGTGTGTGTACAAGGATATATAGACTAGGGTGTTGTACCCTTTAAGGCACAATCCAATATAGTCTACAGTAACAACCTAAGTTATATTTGACACACCCCCTAGACTGCATAGGGGCAGTGCCTAACAAGGGAAGAAGCAGCTCAGGGCGGCACTACTAGTCCAGCCTCTAAGACAAGGGTCTAAAGACCAGTCAAAAGGAGTACAGACAAGGCAAGAGCAAGCCCAGGGGGGCACTACTAGTCCAGCCACTGGGAGAGGCCACAAGGCCACTCAGGGTAAAATAAAGATATAAAGGACAGTACAAAGTCAAGACCCTAACAAGTGAGAGGCTACAGGAACGAGACCCACCTGTACACAGTGCCGTTGATGATCTTTAGGCGCAAGCGCCTTCGTAAAGATATCAGCTCAGTTGGCACCGGAGGCCAAGTGTACTACGCGCGCCTGACGACGCTGCTGCAGCTCACGCATGAGGAAGTACCGCAGCTGAATGTGCTTCGCTCTGCCCTCGAGTCGAGGCTCCTGACACAGGAGGATCATGGCTCTGTTGTCAGCGTACAGGACTGGGGCAGAGCTAGGCCGCTCACCTAAGTCAGTGAGCAAGGAGGTCAGCCAGCGGAGCTCCTGTGCCGCCATGGCACCGGCGTAGATCTCGGCCTCACAGCTGGACTGGGCAACAGACGAGGAACGCGTAGCTCTCCACGAGACGGCACCTGAACCAAGGCTAAAGCAGCAGCCCTGTGAGGACCTGAGGGTCTCGGCGTCGTCTGCCCAAGAAGCGTCTGTGTGTCCAGTAAGGACCACTGGCCTACGTCCTCCTAGTACTAACCCCATGCCCGATGTACTTGCAAGATAACGCAAAACCCTCTTAGCGACCGACCAGTGCTGAGGTCGGTGTCTGCGTGTCGCCACAAAGCGAGCCAGGATGCTGAGAGGGTATGCGAGATCTGGGCGCGTGCAAGTCATCAGGTACATGAGGCAACCCACCAGCTCTGCGTAAGGACCACTGGGCTCTGTTAACTCCTCACGAACTGGAGCGGAGAGCTTGTGGTCTAGAGGCAGAGGAGTAGGCTGTGCGGAGGAATTGAAGGCCGAACCTCTGAAGGACCTGGCGCACCAAGTGTGACTGAATCGAAGTGATGGTGCGGGCTGCTCTGTCCCTGGGGATCTGCAAGCCAAGGTAGTGGCGCAGTTCTCCAAGGTCAGTGCAGATGTGTCTCTTCAACAGCTCTGCCTTCACGGAGGCCAGTGCGTCCTTGTCTGCCAAGGCGAAGACCAGGTCGTCTACGAAAACAAGGATGTAGAACGGAGTCTGGCCACCACGAACGAAGAGCGAGGGGTCTGCAGAGGACGGAAAGAATTGCAGCTCAGCAAGCGTAGCACGCAGCGTGTCGTGCCACTCACGGGGAGCCTGCCGCAGGCCGAAGACGGGGCGCCGGACGAGCCACTGGGTCCCAGGAGGGAAGGTACCAGTGAAGCCCTGAGGGCGACGCAGGTAGACCTGCTCGTGTAGACTGCCCTGAAGAAACGCAGTGGAGAAGTCGAGGGAGTGAAGCTCGTAGTCACGCTGCGCTGTTACGTGTAGTAGCACCCGAAGAGTAGTCATCTTCGGGGTCGGAGCGAAGGTCTGGAAGAAGTCACGCTGACTGAAACCTCTAGCCACGTAGCGCGCCTTGAACACAAGCGACTCTCCAGGAGGGCGCTTCACCTTGAAGAGCCAGCGGCCATCAACTACGTTCACCCCAGGTGGGGAAACTGCGTCGACGTAGGTGCCGGTGGATCTCCAAAATGCCATCTCCTACTCCATGGCAGCTATCCACTGAGAGGGCCAGGGCCCCGAGACCGCCTCAGCGTAAGTGCGAGGGGTCGGGATGTCGAAAGCTTCGGGGTCACCCTAAGGGACTAGAAGCATGGAACAGAGATGGGGAGCAGCCTCGGACATGAAAGCAAGCTCGTACTGGCAGTCCTCCAGGACGTCACTGCCAAGGGCAGGAGAACCCCCGACAGACGGAGGACAGGCAGGGTCAGAGACCAGAGCGGTGGCATAGTCAAGGCGGCGGGTAGAGGTGAAGTCAGCGACCGCAGCGACAAGGGCGTCAAGGCTTGAAACCGGAACAAACGGGTCGGTAACGAGAGAGGCAAGGACCCGAGGAAGAAGAGGACGAGCGGCACGCAAGTAGTCAGACAGAGGGGGGGAAGCAACGACAAGGGAGGACGGAGGGGGCGACGGGAGAAGAGGAGGATGAGACGCGTGGGAACGAAGCAACATAGGGTGAGAGCGCGAGACAGGGGAGACAGGTCGAGCACGGGAGGGACGGCGAGACCAGACGTGAGACAGGGGAGTCGGGTCAGGAGACAGAGGAGGGGACACAGGAGGGGAACGAGGGGGGAAACTGGCCGGAGACGCGTCCGGAGGAGGGAACACAGGGCCGGAGACAGGAGGAGGAGGAGGCACGGGCACGGGGTTAGGGGACGGAAGGCCGAGCAGGCGAAGAGCGGACATCGGCGGGGACTGGTGTGACGGCGGTGTGACGCCGACACCGGGACCGCAAGCTGCCGGGCGGCTACCTCCAGAACACTCCACACCAGCACCCCCAGAAGAAACACCCCCAGAGCTCAGAACCCTTCGAGCACCGGTACCACCCCCAGGCCCGGCGGGAAAAGCCACGACAGGTGACCAGGAACAGGGGGGGGGGTAATTGGGGGACCTCGGTGGGGGAAGCGGCGGAAGAAGGAGACGGACTCGTCAAAGGTGACGTCATGGGAGTGAAAGAACCTGTGAGACGGCGGGTAGTAGAAGTGCCAGACAGACGCGTCAAAGGGGAAGCCGAGGAAGACACAGGAAATGGTGCGGGCAGTGAGCTTGTTCAGTCCAGAGGCACGAACGTGAGCAAGACAGCCCCAGACGTGGAACGCAGACGCGTCACCAGGTGACCCAGACCAAAGGAGGGTCGGCGAAACCTGAGGCTGTTGGGGGTGCGGCCACAGGTTAAGCTGGTGAGCGGCGTAGCGAACGGCGAACGGCCATAGAAAATGGGGTGCACCGGCATGGATCATGGAGGTGCGAGCCACCTCCATGACCAAACCGATGCATCGCTCAGCGACCCCATTCTGCTGCGGGGAGTCCGGCAAGGTGAACGTCTGGGTGATGCCCTCCGTACGACAGAAACGACCAAGGACACCAGAGGCAAACTCGCCACCATGGTCGGAGTGGAGGCGCAAGACAGGGAGACCGCGACGGACTCGCGCAGCGACAAGCCACGGGATAAGAACGTCAAGCACGCCAGGGGGAACACAGTGGTGTAGCGCGTGTAGTCGTCGACAAGCACTAGGAAGTAGCGCTCTCGACGCGGCCCATGGACGGGGGCGGGGCCCCAGACGTCCATGTGCAGAGTCTGTAGCCGTGCGGCGGTAGGGGGAAACGAGGAGGAGTGAGGAGCACGGCAAAGCCAGCCCTCGACACAAAGCGCGCAAGGTGGGGCACGGGAGGAGGGAAACTCAGAGAACGGCCCAGGGAGGCCTAGGACGAGACCGTGCTGTGACATGTGACGCAAACGCGGGAGCGCAGGGTGACCTAGACGGTGGTGCCACAGGAGAGTCGGGTGGGTGAATGACCGACAGGAGCAGGCAGCAGCAACCTGGGTAGACACAGCCACCTGAGGGGAGGTCCCAGCCGAGGGGGTCACAGTGTCCAGTGTGAACAATCCGGACACCGTGTCCCGGGGGAACGTGGTAAGGGGGGCACTAGTGGCGGCCTCGGTACAGACAGCGTAGCGCTCGTGTCCAGGGAACGTAGTGGTGACGCCAAGGTCCTGAAGGCAGTAGACACCAACTAGGTTCCTGGAGAACGAGGGGATGTGCAGACCTGTGAGCGAGCCCGAAGGAACTGCCGGGCAGGGGAGGGTGGTGGAACTGCGGGCGACTACAGGGCCAGAGGAGGGGTCAGCCAAGGAGACGGTGGCAGGGACAGGAAGCGGTGTCAACGTGGTGGAGTCGCAGAAGAAGCACCGGGAAGCGCCAGAGTCGAGGGTGAAGGAGAGCGCGGCAGTGGCGGTTGGAGGCGAAGTAGCGACGAAAGCACCAAGGCTAAACAAAGCACGGGATCCTACGCCTGACGCAGCACGGGAATCTAAGGAAGGCACACCTACACTAGGCAACAAGGGGTAATTAAACGGAAGCACACTAGAGTCATCAGCATACATCACATGCAGAGTAGCAAGAATCTCATCCATGTCCAGATCAAAAATCTGAACCCTACGACTAGGAAAGCTGTGCTAGTCTGGGAGCTCGGGCGACGGGCCGAAATGCTGACGAAACAGGTCGTCCAGGCGACGCAAACAACGGACAGAGGTATGACCGATCTTACCGCAAACGAAGCCACGGTGAGGACCGGTCTGAAGAAGGTACTGATAGCGTGCGGCACCCCCACCACTAGGTGACCCAAATCCAGCACCACCTACACCCGCA